CTATGATTTTTCTCAGACATTTGTTCGTCTCCGGTAGGGTAACTCGTGAAAACAAAACCCCGAGGAACAAAATTTGACTGTAGGGGCCGAGTGCCTACTCACGACTATGGCCCGACTCGGGTGTCAGCGCCGCAGGCCTAGGTAGATGTATGCCAGGCGCGTCGCAGCGTAACAGTGTTTCGTGAGATATCGCGAAGCCTGTTACGCGAGACGTGGTCTGGCGTACGTCTACCTAGTTACGAAGTAGACAGCAAAGGTACCTGGCGAAAAGATGGTTCAAAGCGAGCTGTCACTCATACGGGCCGAAGGCCCGTTTTCCGATGGAAGCTTTATTTCACCATGAAAAACGCCGCCGGCAGGCCAAGCGAGGCCTGCTCCCTGCCGAACCGAGTTGCCGGTGGAGCGAAGCGGAGCTGGCAACTTGGTTTGGCGGAGCGGGCCTAGCTTGTTTATTAATATGCTCCAAAAAAAATTTTTTGTTGTACATAATTTTCTGCTGTTTTCGTTGGTACAGCCCATAATGCCATACAAGTTACGGAGAGGTTTTATCAGTATCTAAAAATTCGTCCTATGGCCCTTGTTGAAGAAACGGTCTCTAGCGCCTTAACGACTTGAGAGCGAGAGAGAGAGAGAAACGGGAAAAGGAAGGGTTCTACTTTCGCGAGATAAAACACTATGTTTTTTTTTTTTTTTTTTTTTTTGACTTCCTGCAACTTAGGTGTGGTTGCCAGGATTTGCACCAACCGTTTCGTTGTTCAGAAGTGAGAACGATGATACCCTGAAAATTGCAGACCCCTAGCTCACGTCCGTCTTGGTAAACGGACAGGCGGAGCATTAAGCCCGCTTATATAGCTTTTACAAAGCAGAAGATCGGGCCCTGCGCCGCTCCCCCCGCCCTCGTCGTTTATGCTTGTTGTGTACTTCTTACCGCGCTTAGTAGAATAGCCTGTTGGTTAGAATTAGATTAAATTCACGGAGTACACTTTTTTGGGCAGGCGTTTTCCACTCGTAACTGTGCCGCAGCCTCATAGCTTTGAAAAAAAGTATGGTACTATATTTGGCTGTTGTTTTATTCCAGACACTTGTAATACTTTTCGAACGCCACTTGATTCTGCTTGGTAACTCACCACAGGACAATGTATTGCCGCCTCGTCGTTCATTTCCCTGATCATGAGCGCAGTGCACTTTAACCCACCCACGACTCCTGTGAGAACACCAGAAGAGGTCGACTTCATCGTTGTTGGGGGTGGGTCGGCGGGTGCCGTCGTTGCCAGCCGACTGTCCGAGGTCACCAATTGGCAGGTAAGCTTGCACGTGCCATCTTCTTGTTTTTCATATTTAAATTCAATTTATTTATCACAAGAGTAGTACAATCAGTTGAGAGAAGTCATTTTTGGCACACTCTTTTGCTAAAAAAGCTATATAAGCGAGCTTATGCCATCGCCCCTGTGTCTGTCTGTCTGTCCGTTTCCCAAGAAGGACTTGAGATAGAGGTGTGAAATTTTCAGGGTATTATTGTTGCCACTTCTGGACAACGAAACGGCGCAAATCCTCGCAACCACCCCTGAGTGGGTATGAGGGGGTATCGAAGATATATAGGGGTTGGTCCGAGAAGTGCGGGAAAAGACATTTTGTATAGTCTCCTACGGGGTAACTTGGGAAAGTAGAGCCCTTTGAACTGAAATTTCGTCCGTTTGGCTCTATCTCTTATCGTTTTTAGCCCGCCCTTCTGCTTTTAAAAAAGCAGTAAAGCGGGCTTATGCAACCGCTCTCGTGTCCGTCCGTCCGTCCGTCCGTCCGTCTGTCCGTCGTCCGTGTAAGAGGAAGGAGATGAGCTAGAGGTCTGCAAATTTCAGGGTATCTTAGGGGTCACTCCTGGACAACGAAACGCCTGGTGCAAATCCTGGCAACCACCTCTAAGAGGCTGAAGGGGGGTAACAAAGAAATAGGGGTTGGTCCAAAAAGTAGAAAATCAACTTTTTTGTATGGTCCCTTAAGGGGTAACTCGTGAAAGTAGAGCCCTTTGGGCTAAAATTTCGTCCGTTCGCCTCTATCTTGCACCGTTTGGGCGCTAGAGTTGTTTTTTCGACGAAAATACGGTGAAAATGACCACGTTGCACATGAAGACGTACAAGGAGGCGTCCAATCGTAAAATGTCAGAGGAAGTATCCCCCCAAAACAGCACATTCTGAGTCTGATGGTACCCTCCGATTTACCGTATCTTTAACTGTTTAGGAGCTAGAGGTAGATATATTGAAAACAATTGCAAAAAGTCAAGTTTAAAGACTGTTTGACAAACAATATACAATCTACAATATACAATCTGCGCGTGTTCTTTTGTTTTAATACTTAAGCAAAGCAGAAGGGTGGGGTGTAGTCACGGTGTTGCGCCGTTACAGTCTTTTGTCATGTCCAAGGAGCAAATTTCTGGGGCCGCAGGCCCCCCACCGGACGCATTAGTTTACTCAAATATACAAAGTGATTTAAGGGTCACATTATTTATTTGATTATGCACTTCGGTAAATCGCGAGACTGAAATGGTCGGGCCGA